AGTTAGTGGGCAGAGGCAAGATACAGAGCCCATCAGGATAACCTGAGATAGACGTCTCTGGGATCTTAAAGTCTGCGTTATGTGACCCCAATCAGAAACCCTGCTGTTACAGGTCCCTCCAGCTTGCTCTTCTCCCATCTCGTCCCCCCCACATGACATCCAGAGACAGTCCACGAGTCAGACATACCAACGGGCAGGGCGCATCTAATCCAGGAGCACCCTGTTCTCCTTTCTCCCCTTTAGGCCCCTTTTTGCCTTTCTTTCCCTTTTCCCCCTGTGGATACAAGGGTTTAAATAAAAGACAGTTTTTATTTGGGGGGGGATAATGGTAAGTCAAAAGATGGTTTAGCTAAGAAAATTCTGGAAGAGCATTTACCACCATACTCTGGTTTAGATGAGGTGTGATCTTAGAAAAAATAACTTACACTTTCAGAGGGACACGGATTCTGGGCCGCAGTACATGGGACTTTGTTTAAGACACTCAGCAAGATGGAAAGAGGAGACTTAAAAGTCAACTCAGAAAGGAGCATCAGTGCTGATTTAGACCACCACGTCCTAGTCATTGTTAATTAGGGTCTTTTGCCACAGATCCGGTGAGCATGATGGATATCAATGGTACTGAAGTCAGCCAGTAGCAGGGGAGGTTCAGGGGAATAACGGATATTTCAGCCAATTTTCAATACCTATCAACTTTTTTTCTTTCTAATACTGTAACAGATGAAAGTTACATTGAACCAGAGGAAAAAGTATATTAACAGCTTTTATGTCTTTGACATTTATCCAATTTTGTGATATTTTTGTAGCTCTCATTAAAAAATATTCAATGTATTAAAATATACTTCTATTTCTTTAGTTTCTCATTTAAAGAAACTAAGCAAATATTTTCCTTATTAAGCAAACAATTTTTTTTTTTGAGACAGAGTCGCCCTCTGTAGAGTACTGTGATGTCACAGCTCACAGCAACCTCAAACTCTTGGGCTTATGCGATTCTCTTGCCTCAGCCTTTCAAGTAGCTGGGACTATAGGCATAAGTAAACTAATATTAAAAGTACAAATACTTTACAGTGATGCCAATGGGGGAAATGGATGTTTTCATAAACCTAGTGATCTTTTTAAATCCACTCTCTTATTGGTCTCATGCCAGGTATTTATAATGGTAAATGGGTTTCCAGCTTTGCTCACCAAAAAAAAAAAATCTATTGAAGAGAAGAGAGCAGTTTGGACTCAGTAAAATATGAGATAGGCAGGATAATTACATAGTGGGAATGTAGCCATGGAAATTAGTATTTAGGAATCAAGGTAAAGGTTGTGGGAAATCTGCGTGGATCATAAGGATGGAGGAATTAAGGAAAGGAGGCAAAAGGAGGAGAAGGAAGGAATGCGCCTCAGCTGTTTCACATTAACATCAACGTCTCTGCGTATTTATAGACGGGAGTTGGTGCAGTACAGAATTCAAAATACCATACAATGTATATTTAAATCAGTGTATTCATCCCACAATCAGGATGGGAGTTACTACACAACTGAATAATCTCGGAAGCAAAGCATCATGAATATTCAAAGGTGAAAAGACAGATATGTAACAGAAACACGAGACATGCCTTCAGATTAATACATTCATTCTGACAGATGAGCTAAAGCGCCTCATCTCAGTCCTGTGTGCCAAAAAGACTGCCTCAGAAGGCTCGGAATCAAAAACACGTGGGTTTCTTGAATACCAGGCAAAGAGAGAAATTCTGTGGGTTTAGGTGATCAAGATCAAAGGAAAGGAGCTGAGAAACCAGGGTGAGCTGAGAGCAGGCGTGGTAGGGAGGAAACTGGGGGAGCATTCAGGAGTCAGTTGCTCACTCATGTAAGCTGAATCAACATCCTCCTTAGCCAACAACTTCAATGCCATGACATGAAGTTGATGTCAACTTGTTTGGGTGGACTCCTCTTCACACTGGTGTGTCTGAGACCAGGTGTGTTCGAATTCAAGTCATTATTTGATTTGTAGATCAACTCAGATTAACCACTCAAAAGAAAAATGTCACATGAATGTTACTATGTCAGGCTACAGAAATCATTTTTCAGAAATATTATACTGAATTTCAAGGTTTATGGAAAAAGGACATTTACTGTACAAAGAAAAATGTACCAATATTATTTATTTTGTAATACCTAGTGATTCTACATGCAACCTAAAATCACTTGTTGTTATATCAGTACATGAGGGCTCTTGCTACTTTTTATTTCCTATGTCAAATATTTACATAGCAACAGAGTGAGACCTTGTCTTAAAAAGAATTCTGCACCTGAAAGTGTTCACATGTAGAATGTAATTTTGCTAAATATACAATTTCTAATGATGAAATATGAATATAAAAATATCATTGTATAGGTGATTAACATTATTCTGAAGATTAAGCTGATGGCTTTATGCTTTTATAAGCTAAACTACTGGAAATTTCTTCCTTGTTTAAAAGATTATAAAAATGAGTATCTTCATGATGGTGACATGATTTCGAGTGAATAAAATTTTATACTCAGAGTACCCATTAGGCAAATGTAAAACAATGCACACAACTTTTAAAACATAAAAACCTTAGGCTGAAAGGTTATATGCACAATATATCTTAAAACATACATATTTTGTAGTCATAATTTTTGTGCCTCAGTTTCTTTGTCTGTGAAATTGGAAAATAATAGCCTCAACTTTAGGGGGGTTGTTATGAGGATTAAAAGACATATGTGAAGCTCTTGGGAAACCATACAAATGCTCAATAAACATGATGAGACTGATGATGATGACGATGACGGTGGTGGTGATTCTGTTCCCTTACATGAGCTCTCTTACCAGTGGAAGGCTAAGTCATGTTTAAGGCCTAAAACATACACAGCGGGCTTAACACTCTTCTCTTCTTGAGAACTCTCATTTGGTCTTGCTTTTCAACAGCTATGAACTCCATTGTTCAAGAGAATTCAAAAGATTTTAAGTTTTTAAATAGAGCAGGGGCATGATTTCATCTGAGAAATATAACTGGTTTAAATTTGAATAGGGCAAGTGCAATTTCAGCCACTTTCAGGTTTTCCCTATTCTGCTGAGGTGATGAATTTTTATTGGCTCCTTTTGCTGTATCCAAGGTAAAAAATTCTTTTTAGACCTATTATCGGGTCAAAGATCCAAGGGAAGTACAGCAAAAGGGAAAGAAAGCAAAAAGGAAAAGAATGAAGGAGAGGAAAGGAAAAATGGTTTTTAAATTTCTTGATCCAAGGAATTCAGTCACAAAACCTTACTGCCTGACAGTGTCTCTCATGTCCCTGGAGCAGATGGCCCCGGGATAGGACCTCAACACCAAGCTCAGAAGAAACACCAACATCTTCATTTAAAAAATCTGTAGCTGTTAGCTCTGAATGAGATAGGACCTCAACACCATGCTCAGAAGAAACACCAACATCTTCATTCAAAAACCTGCAGCTATCAGCTCTGAATCTGAAAGTGGCAAGTCCCAGTCCTTGCATAATGGCTTTACTGTGGTTTATCAGTCACAGTGCTTCTCTGCCATTTTCAGATCAAGAATACCAAGGTACATATTTCTCTGTACTGGGAAGTGGTGAAGAGAAATAAGATGCAGGTTTTACAGGACAGTATTAGATGAGCTCTCTCAAAATACCATTGTAGATTTGTGCTATTGAACATATATATATATATATATGAGACAGTCTTACTATGTCACCCCTTGGTAGAGTGCCATAGCATCACAGAAACCTTGGGCTTAAGCAATTCTCTTGCCTCAGCCTCCCACGTAGCTGTGACTACAGGCGCCTGCCACAACACCTGGCTATTTTTTGTTGCAGTTGTCATTGTTGGTTAGCTGGCCCGGGCCAGGTTCAATCCCGCCACCTTTGGTATATGTGGCTGGTGCCGTAACCTCTGTGCTATGGGTGCTGAGCCTGTGCTATTTAATTTTTTTTTTTTTTAGAGACAAGAATCTCACTTTATTGTCCTTGGTAGAGTGCCATGGCTACATAGGTCATAGCAACTTCCAACTCCTGGGCTTAGACAATTCTCTTGCCTTAGCCTCTGGAGTAGCTGGGATTACAGGCACCACCAGAACACCTGGCTGTTTTTTGTTACAGTTTGGCCAGGGCAGGGTTTGAACCTGCCACCCTCCGTATATGGGGCTGGTGCCCTACCCACTGAGCCACAGGCACTGCCTTGTGCTATTTAACATTACTTTAAAATATTTTTCAAAATTCTGTTTATTTATTTATTTATATTTTGAGACAGTGTCTCACTCTGTTGCCACGCCTAGAGTACAGTGGTGTTATCATAGCTCACAGCCACCTCAAAGGCCTGGGTTCAACTGATCCTCCTCCCTCAGCCTCCTGAGTAGCTGGGACTACAGGCACCTACCACCACATGTGATTTATTTTTCTATTTTTTGTAGAGACAGGGTCTCATTCTTGCTTAGACTGGTCTTGAATTCTTGACCTCAAGTGATCCTCCTGTTTTAGCCTCCCAGAGTGCTAGGATTACAGCCATGAGCCATAGCACCTGGCCCAAAATCTTTTACTTTTTATTAATTCAGTATCAGATAGTTGAAAAATTGTAGCTTGAATATCTGAAAATTATATGTATTTATTTATTTGAGATAGGGTCTTGCTCTTTTGTCCAGTGTCTTAGAGTACAGTGGTGTGATCATATTTCCCTGCAACCTTAAGTAAAAGTGATCCTCCTGCCTCAGTCTCCTGAGTAGCCGGGAGTACAGGTGCATACCACCACGCCTGGCTAATTTAAAATGTTTTTTGGAGATGGGGTCTTGCTACGTTGCCTAGGCTGGTCTACAACTCCTGGCCTCAAGTGATCCTTCTGCCTTGTCTCCCAAAGTGCCAGGATTACAGGTGTAAGCCACCATGCCCAGCCTGAAGATTATAATTTTTTCTTCTATGCTGGACAGTGCCCTTATTTCCCATGGGGTAGCCTTCTTCATTCCTCTTTGAAGAACTGATTGCTTAGATCAGGCATCAATATGTTTTTGGAGCACAGGAGCACAGGATGGAGACAGATTAGGTGTCAACACAGCTGAACAGCAAGCAGACAGCATGAGATGAATCAAACAAGGCACATGCTAGAATGGAGAGGTCACCTTTTCTCCCTTTTCTCCTAGATCGCCCTTTTCACCCCGTGGACCAGGAAAGCCCTGCAGAAGAAAAAGCAAACCGAAAAGATCTATTGGTGCAACTGTGGCAAAATCATGTTGAAAAACATTTTTAAGATTTTGTGTTTCTGAACTCAAATCTAACAGAAATGGCATGCCAAAAAATCTCAACACTAGGTAAGGTAGAACTCCGAAATAATAGTTTTCTAATGTCTCAATTATTACTACACAAGTTTCTTATTTTTTCTTCTCAGAAATGTAGAGTGCAAAGAATACCAGGATGCTAGTTTAACGACTGGAATGTTCACCGATTCATGTGAATTTGGGCAAGTCACTTACCTCTCTGCCTTTCAGTCCCTGGACTCAAAAATGGAATTAATGATACCTACCAGAAGCTTTTGTGGACATTAAATGAGATAATGTCTATCAAGTACCAGAATGGTGCCTGAACACAATAGGTGCTCAGTAAACACTAGCTATTATTACTTTTGCTATTGTCATTATTCACATAATACAGGTTGAGTAGTGATTGTCTTTAGAGGCATTTACTTTTGATATTCTCTATTTTTATAGAGTTGTATTAGCATAAAATACATAAGGACTTAGTGCTAAAAGGAAAACTACTGGATAACTGCTTTGAGAATAATAAATCTTACACCATTCCCTATGGGTAGCATGTGAGAGGTATATTAATTTTATGCATTTTTTATAAGTGGGCATGCTGATGTTGAATATCCTTTATTTGGAAAGTATTTTGAAGTGCCACTATCCACCATCAGTTATTAATTTTATGCCAAATAATCATGTTTTTGCTTTTATGTTGATCTCATGCAAACACGAGTATATTTTATATTGCTGTCTCCATACACAGCAATATATGCTCTGAGCATAGCTATATGCACAAAAATATAAGAAGTATTCTTTCTGCTGTTGATGATGGAGACCATCACATCCATTACAACAGGAAGATGTTTATCATATTACTTACATCGAGACCAGGCTCTCCATCTTTCCCCTGCCAAAGAACCATAGTAGCTACATTAGTGTTCCTAAGTTTCATGAATAGGTTATTGCTTTGTTTAAGGTTGCCTGGACATGCAACACTTGTACTAGAACTACTTTAGAAATGTGGAAAAGATATTGATTAGTAATGCAAATTTCTGTAAATCAAGTGAAGTGATGGTTAGTGTTGCACTTCAGGGTCACGGAAAGATTTTTGTTATGAATGAGGTTACATGGACTGATATTTTACTGAAGTTTAATGCTTGGTATCTAAGTGGTCAGTCGAGGGACTAAGTGAAAAGCACAGATATAGTTTAGTTTTCAAACACACAAGCACTAATAGAGGATGTAAATCAATGCTGCTTTAGTTTGGAAACTTAGTAGTTAGCCGATAAACGAGTAAAGAATGTGAAACGGTGTATTGTTGAGCATAGTTTTAACTTGGCCAGATGTGTAGCTGGTAAATAAATATTGAGAATGTGAAGGTTGCAACTTAAAAACTGTTTTTATGTAAGCTTTGTAAATAACTGATCCCCGGGTAGAACAGAAGTCATGACACTCACGCACGGATGATGAACTCACCCCGCACGCATATCACGGTGCTGGCCCTACTAGGTCATCCTGTGGATCCACCCAAAGTTTCTGAGAGCCTAATTTGATTCTGCCAATTATATTTTGAAATATATTTCAAAATCAGCATTTTTTTAAAGCATAGACGTTATCATGGTTTAAGTTTGTTATTTCAGTTCACAAAAAGTACGTGGAAGCTACAGGAAGATTTAAACCTTAATACAATGTACACTTCTATAATAGTCCTACCTTTTACCCCACTGAATCAGTTACAATTTTTCCCAAGATAGTATTTTTGAAGTATACGTTAGGCCTCAATTTTAATTCTGTATAATTAAGAATTTTCAGAGGACAGAACACCATCAATATTCTATGTTCTGAAGATCATTTGTCACCACAGTCATTAGAAAGGTCAGAAACTTCAAGTCATAATACACCTTCAATTTAATTTGAGGAATACATTTTATCAGTAAGAGTCCTTTTAGTAAACAACCTACGAGAACAGATAAAATCTTAAGGAGACTGCTTTAAATGGAGCTTCCACACCCATTTCTTGATTCAGTGACCTTCTAAGACAGTGCCAGTGTGAGTGTCCAGTCAGATGGCATGGGGAGGGCGTTACCTGACAGTCAGAATCCTGCTTTCAGGTTAGGACAGTTTAGTCCAGAGACTGCCTTTGACCCTCTCAATCTTGTGAAGTGTGTGGGTGTGTGCTGGTATATGATGAACGAGTAGGAGACTCAAGTGGAACTATTTCATAAGGACACAGAACTGTCGGCATTGTAGGTAATTAGCAGGTGGTTCTCAGCTCCTCTAGCATGATTAGTCTGCCCCATAAGGGAAAGGTTAACCTTGTCAGTGACTGGTCATCTATGCATGCTGAAGGTGGGGACTGTGCACGTGACCGTGAACTCACGGGTAGGCCGTAGGGCCCTCTGGGTCCAGGCTCTCCCATAGCTCCTTTTTCACCCTAAAATGAAAAGTAGAAATTTCAAATCACACGCACACACACACACCCCAATGTTTACACATTTTTTCTTATGGCCTATGTACAAAACCTTCATTTAAAGGACCATAATATCAAAATCACAAGAATCCAGAATCTTTCAGAGCCATTACCAGGGATATGGTGAAGGTAATCTACAAAAGCATCCTTCCAAGGAGGGGCAGCAAGAGCCTGGGGCTGCCCAGCCAGGCAGGAGCATTTCATGTCTTGGATGCTATACTTAGGCTTCTTTGGCATTTGGTGAGAAACATTTGTTACTAATTATTCCAAGTTAGTACTTTTTAAAAAACGTGAGAATAAGATGCTTTTTCCTGAACACTAATTAGATTGGGAAAAAATATGCTTTCTTCCCCTAGTGAGCATTTCTTCTTCGGAGAAGCCCTTCCTGGCCGCCCCTCCCTTCACACAGGTGTGTTTTACATCACAGCCCTCCCGTCCCACAGACTCGGGGAGATTAGAACCTGCTTATTCTCTGCTGCCCACTCTGGAGTATGCATGTGGGACCTCCAGGGCCGGTGGATGGTTCCCTGCAGCCCCCCATGGCTTGGAATAGCATTTGACAGATGAGTAAATATTTGTCAAGTGAATGAAATAAGTCTAATTAATATAATTACATACATATTTTCTTTTCTGAAATACAGAGTTTCTGGACTTATATTGCTTTCACCAAATGCTTCATGAATTAGGTATATATTATCTTCCTCACTCTGTCTCCAAGTGCTTATTTATTTGTTTATTGAGTAAGAATCTCACTCTTGTCTTGGTCAGACTGGTTGTGGTGTCACAGCTCACAGCAACCTTAAACTCAATTTTCTTGCCTCAACCTCCCGAGTAGCTGGGATTAGAGGTGCCTGCCACAACACTCTGATAGTTTTTCTATTTTTGGTAGAGATGGGGGGGGTCTCAATTTTGCTCAGGCTGATCTTGAACTCCTGAGCTCAATGATACTCCCTTCTTAGCCTCCCAGAGTGCCATGGTTACAGGTGTGAGCCCCCACCCAGGCCCAAGTGCCTATTTAAATAGAGTGGCTTTGTCCAGCTGAGAAGATTGTACTTATAAAGACTATGTGTTATTGGAAGTAGCTGCATGCATAGAAATAATTATGATATAATGTAAGAGATATTCTGCACTTCAAATAGTGTTTTCTTCAGCTGTCATCTCTAGATGAAAGTGTTTTGTCAGTGTGTAGGATGAAAATTTCAGGAGTAATAGTGATGCTTATCTGCCCAGTGAAACAGAAAATGGTAACCCAGGGAGTTGAAAGGTTAGCCAGTCTTTTTGCACAAGTTAAACATTAGGTTCGGGGTAACTCTGCCTGCAAAGCCATCTGATAGGCTTATGTTTCCTTCTACTCCAGATTCCCATGTGAGAGAATTTCAGGTCGCTGTTAACATTCTTCTTTAATCTCAATTTAAGAGCTTGGTGGCACTAATTAGCATTGTCATCTAGAGGCATATAGTTCAGGTCAGATTACTGAACATAAATATGATAAAAGCTTGTTGAACTATTACTCATTATTACTATTGAAGCAGCAACACTTGCCCTCAGTGAAGTGGCCAGGATTTAAATGAAACAGATTTCAATAAAATGAGCAAATACTAAAATGTTCATATTTTTAATATATAATCACACAGTTTTATATGACAAAGATTATTCTTTTTTCTTTTCTTTTGTTTTCTTTTCTTTCTTTCCTTTTTTTTTTTTTTGAGACAGAGTCTCACTGTGTTGCCCTGGGTAGAGTGCTGTGGCATCATAGCTCACAGCAATCTCAAACTCTTGGGCTTAAGCAATTCTCTTGCCTCAGCCCCCAAGTACCTGGGACTACAGGTACCTGCTACAACACCCAGCTATTTTTAGAGACAAGGTCTCCCTCTGGCTCAAGCTGGTCTTGAACTTGGGAGCTTAGGCAATCCACCTGCCTCAGCCTCACAAAGTGCTAGGATTACAGGCGTGAGCCACCACACCCAGCCTGACAAAGATTTCTCTATTGCTAAAATAATTTTATTCTTGTTAACAAAGAATGTTTATTCTAGAGTTAAAAACCAAAATGTTTAGGCATATTGTAAGAACCAGTGTTTTAAATTTAACTTGATAGTTGCCTTGCATTTTGTGAAGGGGGATTTTGTTGTCTGCTAAGATTCTTTGAGGGAGGGGCCAGGCACTGCTGTAATCCTAGCACTCTGAGAGGTCGAGGCGGGTGGATCCCTTGAGCTCCTGAGCAAGAGTGAGACCAGTCTCCACTAAAAATAGAAAAATTAGCTAAGCATCATGGTGGGAACCTGTATCCCAGCTACTTGGGAGCCTGAGGCAAGAGGATCACTTGAACCCAAGAGTTTGAAGTTGCCGTGAGCTGTGATGCCATGCACTCTACCCAGAGTGACAGAGACCCTGTCTCAAAAAAAAAAAAAAAGAAACAAACAAACAAAAAATAGGGTTTTTGAGGGAGGGAAGAGGTAACAGCTTGAGAAAAAGTAACTGAACATAGTGGACATTACTATGCTGGATAATTTGTCAAATTTGAGTCACGTTCGTCCATTTCTTTTCCAAGTATACATAAGTTAAAAAGAAAAACAAATCCAAGTCATAAAAGAAACATAAACATAAAAATGTTTAAGGAAATAAATGATTTTTAAACCTCAAAAATAAAAAAATAAGCAAATAAATAAAATGGTTTAAATTTTTTTTTTTTCTGAGAGACAGTCTCAAGCTGTTGCCCTGAGTAGAGTGCTGTGCCATCATAGCTCACAGCAACGTCCAACTCAGGCTCAAGTGATCCTCTGCCTCAGTGTTTCAGTTTTTAGTAGAGACAGGGTTTTGCTCTTGCCCAGGCTGGTCTCGAACTCATGAGCTCAAGCAATCCACTCGCCTCAGCCTCCCAGAGATTTTAAATTTTAATTCCTGATCTGGTAGTTTCAGGCTATGTGGCCTCTGGCAACTATCTTAACCTTTCTGTGCCTAAGTTCCACTGGCTGCAAATGAGAATAGTAATACATATACTGCAAGAATATGGATATGTCCTGAAGATAAAATGTGACTCTCCTATATGAAACTATATATGCCATAAACAAGGCGTCCTTAAACTACGGCCCGCGGGCTACATGCGGCCCGCCTAGGACATTTATCTGGCCCGCCTGGTGTTTTTGCTGCCGCTGCCTGTCCTGTTTAGCAGCCAACTCATCCCGGGGCCTGAAGTCTGGCCCTCCAATGGTCTGAGGGACAGTGAACTGGCCCTCTGTTTAAAAAGTTTGAGACCCCTCCATAAACAGTAGCTATTATTAATATCATACTATTTGAAGTCTTGTTTTTAATTTTTTTTAAAAGGGCTTGACAACCTAATGAATACCAATTCAAAATCAATTTCTTTCAGTTTGATTTGGTTGTGTTATTTATGATTTTTAAAATGGGTGTGTGTATGTTTAGTGAGACATGGGGATTTAAAGGCAGGGGTTCATAAGCAGGAGTAGGTCAGTTTAGTGTAGACCTAGTTGGGAAAATCTGCACAGATTATTTTGATATTATCATTCCCTTCCCCCTAATCTGATACAGAAACTTAGTTTTGTTTTGTCTTATTTATTTATTTATTTTAGAGACAGAGTCTCACTTTGTTGCCCTTGGTAGAGTGCCATGGAGTCACAGCTCTCAGCAACTTTCAGCTCTTGGGCTTAGATGATTCTCTTGCCTCAGCCTCCCCAGTAGCTGGGACTACAGGTGCCCACCATAACGCCTAGCTATTTTTTTGTTGCATTTTAGCTGGGGCCAGGTTTGAACCTGCCACCCTTGGTATATTGGGCCAGCGCCCTACTCACTGAACCATAGGTACTGCCTGGTTTTGTTTTATTTTTAAAACAAATACACTATGGCTTATTTGAATAAAGCTATCACTAAAACCTTTGTCTGTGAAACTTCTAGAATAGCCTATCCCAAATAATTACTTTAAGCTAATAGACTCTTGCCAGTGACCGGGTTAAAAATGGACCAATGACCCAGTTCTGGCAAATGAGGTGCCAACAGCAGTCAGCTGGGAAGTTCCTTCCTGCTAAGGGAGACACAAAGGAGAGACTCCCTGTTCTCTGCTGATGTCCCTGATGCCAGTTTGCCTGTGGTCAGGAGACAAGGCCGGTACATGGAAAGGCCACCACAGCAAAGCCTAAGTCATCCTTTGAATATTTCATTATAGGAAAACAATGCATTTCTTTATTGTTTCAGCCATTTTGAGTTTGGCCTCTGTCACTTAGAGCTGAAAGTATTCTAATGGTTCCAGCTTGAATATTTGTAGGAATGAAATATTAACACAGGGATTTGAATGCGCACTTCTTTTCCTGGATTAAGTAATTCCAAAAGAATTTCTGAACCTCTCAAATGTAATATATTCTATAGCATTCCAGAGCAGTTCCAGTGAAGAAATCAGGTGAGGGCAGGGAGCATCATGTGCCCGGGCAGCTGAACACCAATGCTGGTGGTTGTGTATTTGACAATTTCCGAATAACACCATCTGTCAAATGTGTGTTTTCTTTAGGTTGTTTTAATTTCATTCAGCCTCTTTAATTTGCCTGTCTACACTGAGATATTATTCCAAAATGCCACTTTTTGTTGATTCCTATTTCTTTAAAATCTGAAACTTTTTCAAGGGACTCCAGATGGCTCCTCAATCAATTAACTTTGAGAATCACACTCCAGTTTAGCTCTTTGGGTGAGGGGCACTTGGCAAGTACTGATATATGATCCAGTTAAGATGGTTAACATGCTGAGTAAATACAAGTGTAACACTTTACACTCCACACCATTTGACTTAAACTATGCCTTCAAAAATTCTTAGCAATTTCACTTGCTCTTCTGGTTAATTCTGCCCCAGCACTGAGATCTGATACCCTTGTGACATTGTGAAGCTATCGGAAGTAGCAGCTGATTTACCAAACGGTAAACCCTCTTGAGCCTCAAGGCATTTTGCCAAAAGACTGGCTGAGATTTGCTGCTCCATTTTTAGTACATGGGCAGAGTTTCTTCATACAGTTCTTAAGAGCAAATCCGCGTCAGCGGTGTTGAGGCTCTTAGCTGTTAAATATTTTTTAATGACAATGATCTTTAGAAGTTGTTGGTTTGATCTTAGAAATAAGACAATTGCAGATTCAAATGATATAATCCTGTAGGATTCATCTGTTTATAGAGGCATTCTTAGATAAAGCCGGCCTTCATCACTGTATGTGCAGCCTACACCACTTGCATTCACTTTGACCCCATTCTCTGGTTATTTCTTACATACATTTTTTTTTCTCTGCAGTTAGATATAAATCTTTTAGGTCAGGGGAAATATCTGCTTCCTTTGAGACACTGAGTATATATTTATAAGTATTAATAAAAGATGATGGATGGATAATTGGATGATTCACCAATTATAGTGGTTTTGTTCAAAGTACTAGGGCAAAGCATCTTTATCTAAGTGGGAGGAGAGTTTTTCCGTTTCACACTAGAAGTGATATCTTGCTTTGTACGTATTTACTGCATGAATGAATTCACCTTATAGAACACAGAATTATGGAAGTGGAAGTCATGTCAAAGAAAACACTCCTGGCCCTTTTTCTTTTTTAAAGCAAATTACCTTAGACTGATGAAAATCCATCCAGTTTTTAAAAGACCATAAACTCACACAGTGGAAGATTTCAACATTGTGAAGCCCTCACTATTCAAATACTTTCTTTCTATCCTGTCCTGGATGGTGGGGAAATTGATAACACAAGTCCATTCAGACACACATAAAAACTTCTGAGTTTCTCAAGGTGAGGAAAAGAAAAAGTGGGATAAAAACAGAGAGAGAGAGAGAGAGAGAGAGAGAGGGGAGGGGGTTCCAGACAGACGACCAGCTGCGGATACTGCTGTACATTTTTGTGTGTCAGATATTTATCTTCCCTTCTGAACATTTTTTTTTTTCCCAAGGATATGGAAACATGGCCTAGCACTAGGGAGGTTAGTGAAAGGTTTTTGTTTTGTAATGAACTGAAATTATTTCCTTATGGTTAAAGGAAAAACAAGCTATTCTTTAGCTTTAAAAAAAAAAAAAGGAAGCATGTGTAACTTTGAGGAGAATGCTTAGGTTTTGTAATTTCCTTTGGAAAAAGGTTGTAACGCGCTCTGAATGAACACAGTAGCTTTATATATAAGATTATCAAGCGGAATATGTAGTCCTGGAAATTTTAGCCCCATTGACTTCAACTTTTTGGACGAAGGCCAAATGAAAATATCTTCCTTATGGGTTAAGGAAGGATAATCTGAACTATTTATTTTAGCTATGTAAATGTACGCATTGTTTTTATTAAGGCAGCCACGTTCTGTTTTATACTCTGTGGTTTTACTCTCACAGTGTTAGGATACTGGAAAGAACTTAAGATGGTATCTATTTTCATTTAATATTAGATAGCCCTTTGTTTCTTCTGGAAAATGGTCAGTTCCAGTTCAACTAATATGGAAAAACCAGGTCTTTAGTACACAGCTTATTAACTTCTGGAGCAACTTACTCTTTCTCCTTTGGGACCTGCAGGGCCATGGGGTCCCATAGGACCATCTGTACCCTAGAAAAAGATAAAAATAAGATGACATGAGACATAACACAATGGATACAAGAGTAGCAGTTATAATGTATCCTGGACTTTTCCTGGGTAAAGGATGCCTTAGAATGTTGGTAAGACAAAACTAATCTCCCTTCAAAGTGCTTTATACGTGATTCTTTCAGGCAGTGGTTTTCAAGAAACTCACGCAGAAAGGGTGAATTATAGAACCACCAATTTTAATGACAAGCTATATATCATATTATACATTTACTTCCTGACTAAATGAAACATCTTCACTTTGTCCTCATAATGTTAAGAAGGCAAATATTCTTGTTTTTCTCTCCTGTCACCTCTTCCTCAGGCCCTCTCTGTATACCGTAGGCCCCTTGTGGACACACATGCTCTCAACCTTGTTCAAAAGTTATTTAAGACGCTTAAACAGTTACACAAGTGGCAAAAAAAAAAAATTATTAAATAAATGAGAACAGTGTTCAACTGTTGAAACTTTCTGCAGCTCTTGGGAGCAGCAGGGGCTTACGGGGCAGGGCTGATTCTTATGGGTTCTGCGGCAGTCTTTGCAGTCACCAGGCTTACAACTGGCAAACCAAGTAGCCGGGATGATTTAATGTCACAAATGCCTTGTGGCTTCCTTGTTAGTTCATGATTAGGATTTCTGTGGGACAGGAGGTAATATGTGAATAAATATTAGAACACTGAGGTCCAGTGAAAATAATTACTGCCTGAAGCAGGTTTTTAGAATTGAAAAGCTAAGGATTTCTTTTAGATTGTTAAAAATGTAGCAAGGAATTCAAGTATCCTTGCTCATTTTCAGGAAGACTGTGACTAGATAGTCAAAGAATTGATTATAAAATTGCGAATGTATGAACTATTCCAGCACAATTGTTCCACAGTATTCCCATTTACATTCTACTATTCTGGTTTGTTCTGCTAGAGCCTTGTGATGTGCGCATAAAAGAATCCAGAGTTTCAAACTCATTCTAATGTTAGTGAATTCTCGTCACCTTAACTGATCTTTTTTTCTTACTTCCTGGACTCTAAGTTCACCTTCAAAAGACTTCTAACTAGTGAGTGTCTGTGGCTAAAACTCAAGAGATGGAGTTAGGAAGCAAAGAAAAGGGACAAAAGGACAGAAGGCAGACTGGTCACTTCTACGAACACAGAAAGTCAGTTCCAAGGCAAAGGTTCCATTTCTAGGATGGAGATAAACCTAAAAGGAAAGGCAAGTTAAAAGAAATACACATGAATGTCTACTGGTCACAGAAAAATCTTCTGGGATTTTAAGACAATTAGACTGGCCATTCTTCCCACCTAGCAAATTGTCCAGACTTGAATGCAGGCTTCACAGTGATGTTCTGGCAGTTCAGGCTGCACTGCAGACAAAGCTGCAACCCATCTTCTGTACACTGTTCCCCCTACGCAGCCCCCTTTGTTCACCTTTCCCTTTTACTCCAGCCTCAAGTACCCTCATCATCATTTGATGGGAGGACATGGAGCAAAGGGGTTCGTCTTGAACCACAGGATTCACAGCTACAAAGCAGGTCAGAGCAAGACAAGGGACAGACTCACCCGGGATCCTGGCTTTCCGTCTAAGCCAGATGCTCCCTGTGTGATTTGGTTGGTAGCAGGGTTGGTGGGTGTAACACGAATGACAAGAACAGAGATTAGTATAAGGTACTGATGAACAAATGTAACACTTCAAGCAACATAATAGGCAGTCACAGGGTTCTGGGATGAATATCACATTGCTACAAATTGTTAGTTTTTTTTTTTTTTAACAACAAACCACATGACAATAAACACCCCACAGATGATGGCATTTTAATGACATTTCTATGTGACACGTTCTTATTTAGAAATCAAGTCAATGAAATTTATAAAGCGGGCTACAAAGTCGTTACTGGTAACAGAGGCTTCAATCTAATTTCCATATGAAACTAATTTTCTAAAGACTGTACTATTTATATTTCTTTCTTTCTTTCTTTCTTTTTTGTAAAGACAGAATCCCACTTTATCGCCCTTTGGTAGAGTGCCATGGCGTCACACTGCTTACAGCAACCTCCAACTCCTGGGCTTAGGTGATCCTCTTGCCTCAGCCTCCTAAGTAGCTGGGACTACAGGCGCTCGCCGCAACGCCCGGCTATTTTTTGTTGCAGTTTGGCCGGTGAACCCGTCACCCTTGGTATATAGGGCCGGCGTCCTACCCACTGAGCCACGGGCACCGTCCTGTACTATTTATATTTCTTTAAGTTCTGAAGAAAAAGTAATGGCAATCTCCCAAGAAAGGGCTCATTATAATAATCAAGCAAATTTAGCATTTCAGAGGAGAAAAAAGGGCTCTGGTTAAAATAGTATTTATGTTCATCTTGAAGAATTTTTTCTAAAATTTTTTCTAAAAAAATAGTATTTATGAATAACAAATGTAGGGTTTTAACATATCAGTATGAGCCGAGGTGGATTTTTCAGGAACAACACTCATTGTTTTCTAGGTTGTTCCTGCTGTTCACATTAGTTTCCACTAGAGGGACTTCTAGGAACAGGAAAAAGCCAGGAAAAAAAAAAATCGTGAGACCAACCAAAAAATGACTCTCAAACTAAATCATTTCTCAATTCCTTCAAATAATCCTAGCCTCAAAGTTTGAATGGGAAATGAGAAATCACTTAAAAACATAATGTTTTTGGTCAATGCATGCTTTTCTTTACCATGAACTCTAGGTTACACGTAGATAGTGTATGATTTTAACAGGGCATTTCCAATGCTTATTTCAAGAATAAGCACAATCATTTCTTCGATATGTTTTTGGTACCTCAAAGCCCAAATATTTATTTATAGGCTTTTACAAATATTGATTAGATCAAGGAGTATTTAAAAAAGACAATGCACTGGCCCTCAAAATTCTCTTGGCAAGGTTGCAGAACTATATCCCAATTTTATGCTTCAGATGCAGTTAATAATACAAAATGGAAGAAAAAATCTATTCCAGCTGCAGACTTCACCAGTGATGCTGTACTATAAACATTTTGGTTATTTTTAGTTTTTTTATTTTAAAATTCCTTCTGTATAATCCTACGATGATCCATACAATAAGTATAAAATACATCTTTAGTGAGCAATGATTACAATTTTAAAAAGTGTATTGTTGTTTGTTTAACGCTAGCATAGGTAGATCTCTTAGTTAAATGTTGTATAAAAACAAACAGCATGGGGGCGCCTGTGGCTCAGTGGGTGGGGCGCTAGTCACATGCACTGAGGTTGGTGGTTCAAACCTGGCCTGGGCCTGCTGGACAACAATGACAACTGCAACATAAAAACGGCTGGGCATTGTGGTGGGCACCTGTAGTCCCAGTTACTTGGGAGGTTGAAGCAAGAGAATCGCTTAAGCCCAGGAGTTTGAGGTTGCTGTGAGCTATAATGCAACGGCACTCTACTGAGGGCCATATAGTGAGACTCTGTCTCAAAAAAACAAAAAACAAAAAACAACACCCCCCCCGAAAAAACAGCATCCTTAAATTTGAAATTAGGGCAAACTTTAAAGAAATCATACTGAAAGTTAAAATAAACAGGAACTCCACACTTTTTTTCCCTTTTGATACTTTCTTCACTCACCATTCCCCCCCACCCCCCGTCTCACTTTGTTGCCCTTGGTAGAGTGATGTGGCGTCACAGCTCATAGCAACCCCAAACTCTTGGGCTTAAGTGATTCTCTTGCCTCAGTCTCCTTAGTAGCTGGGACTACAGGCACCTGCCACAATCCCCAGCTATTTTTCTGTTGCAGTTTGGCCAGGGCTGGGTTTAAACCTGCCATCCTTAACCCTACTCACTGAGCCACAGGTGCTGCCCACCATTATTATAACATTTGAAAATAAATGGGAAAATGGTAAAAATTTTCTGCTGATAATGTTATATCTACCTAGAATATTGAATTAATGACTCACATCTGTGATACATTGATCTAATTGATGTGATTTAACCTCTACATATATATATATATGTTTGTGTTTGTATTTTTTTGTTTGTTTGCTTAGAGACAGAGTCTCACTTTATCACCCTAGGTATAGTACTGTGGCATCACAGCTCACAGCAACCTCCAACTCCTGGGCTTAGGAGATTCTCTTGCTTCAGCGTCCTAGGTAGCTGGGACTACAAGGCGCCTGCCACAATGCCCAACTATTTTTTTGTTGAGTTTGGCAGGGGCTGGGTTTGAACCCGCCACCCTCAGTATATGGGGCTGGCGCCCTACCCACTGAACCATAGGCACCACCCTATTTTTTGTTTTTTAAGACAGAGTCTTACTCTGTCACTCTGGGTAGAGTACTGTGGGATCATCATAGCTCACAGCAACCTCAAACTCTTGCACTCAAAAGTTCCTCTTGCATCAGCCTCCTAAGAAGCCATGACTACAGGTGCCCACCATGATACCCAGCTAGTTTTTCTATTTTTAGTAGAGATGGAGTCTTGCTCTTGCTCAGGCTGGTCTGAAACTCCTGAGCTCAAGCAATCCACCTGCCCTGGCCTCCCAGAATGCTAGGATTATAGGCATTAGCCACTGCACCTGGCTTAACCTATATTTTATGAGGCTTAGGTCAGTCATTCAATAAATAAATAGGTACTGACATCTACTCTATGTCTGATCTATGTAAGGCATTTGCTATTATGTGGAGTACTTTAGTACTTATAGCACAATATCCATGGAAACAATAAAATAATCAACTTTTTTTTTCAGACAGAGTCTTACTTTGTAGACCTAAATAGAGTGCTGTGGCAGCACAGCTCACAGCAACCTCAAACTCGTGGGCTCAAGCAATCCTCTTGCCTCTGCCTTCCAAGTAGCTGGGACTACAGGCACCGGCCACATCAGACTATTTTTTAAAGATGGTGTCTCTCTTGCTCAGGTCTCAAACTCCTAAGTTCAAGCAATCCACCTGCCTTGGCCTCCCAAAATGCTAGAAACTTTTTTTTTTTTGAGGCAGGGTCTTGCTCAGGTGCCCAGGCTACAGTGCTGTGGCATCACAGCTTACAGCAACCTCAAATTCCTGGGCTCAAGTGATTCTCTTGCCTCAGCCTCTCAAGGAGCTGGGACTACAGGTGCCCATCATAACACCTGGCTAATTTTTCTCTTTTTAGTAGAGATAGAGCTCTTCTCCAACTCCTGAGCTCAAGGGTTCCTCCTGTCTTAGCCTCCCAGAGGGATGGGATTACAGGTGTGAGCCATTGCACTTGGCAAGTTGTCAATTTCTTTCCTCTTGCATCTTAAATGTGTGTATAAACTATTTACTGTTAGTAATGTCATGCCATATCTTACCAGTGTAATCTATAATGTTCTTTATTGACTTTTATCTACAGAATGGCCATAAAGTTAGTATGCAATTGCCACACTATATAGGCACTGAATAGACAGCATATTAAAATCTTGAAATTAAAGCGTCATGTTCAATAACAATTTTTAAAAAATCTCTTTTTCGCTGTTTTGGAAAGAAGGCTGGCATAAAATGCATGAAAAGGGGAAAGACATATCTTTTTCATTAACAATAAAAATAAAAACTGTAAAATACTCCTATAGTATCCACTATTGCCACAAGAACCTCATTACGACAGAGAGTTTTCCAAACAAACAACATAAAACATGTAGAACATGATGTGACTGATTAATGTAAGGAGCCACAGCACTGAGCTCACACCATCAACAATGGCAATTGCATACCTGCCACCAACGGAGGGCTACAGTTTTGGTGTCCAAGGGGACAAAGCAACTGAGGGAGGGTTTTAACCTGCACTAAATTATAAAAAGCTTTTGGGAGAAATTATGAAATAATGAGCACAATACTTTTTAAAGACGAGGATGATGGGAGAAGAGTTGTTAGCCCTAAAAGAAGAAGGTTGGCATGTATGTAATTGAAGAACGACAGAACATTGATAACATTGTTTGTTACAGGGTCTTCCTCAGACACGAGAGCAGACATCAGAAAAAACAAAGCTAGGCTGACCTCTGCTCTAACATAATGTTCTCTACTTATAGAAATCTCAAAAGTAAGATAGTTGCTGGTAAACCAGAGTTGTTACTTAGGGTAGAAAGAAAAATCTGAGATTTGCACTGAAACGGAAAGATTTCTTTACTTACTGGAAGACCAAGGGGTCCTCTGTCACCCTTTTGACCTGGTTCACCCTTCAATCCTTTAACACCATTTAACCCTGGTTCACCCTAAATGCAAAAGCAAATGCCAATTTTGGTTGCTAGTATGGGTGTTTAAACTATGAGAGAAGAAAGCCAGTCTCTGAAATAGTTGCAGATTCCAATTTTAGGTAACAGCAGAGTCAGTCTCATTTTTCTTCCATCAGCTCAAAAATTAATTTAAAATTTTTAAAAAGTTAATAAACAGAAATCGGCAATTCAACAATATTCTAGAAAGCAAAACTCCCCCCAAAGTGTGCTCCTTACAATCAAAATACATATGAGTTCTTTCTCAAGGAAATTAGTGTTATACTACATGGTTACGATCAAGCAAATCAAAGACAATCAGATTGAAGGATGCTGAAAGAGGTTCAGTACGAAAAACCCACTCTGCTGGAATGAAAAACTGGAATATGCAGGACAGTGTTATAGACAGATATTTTAAGCCTTTAAGCATTTTGCCCCAGGGAATGAGCTAAAAATGTAGCAGCTGATGTTTGAAGTAATGCCATTTAGCAAGTCCTCATTCACTGACATTGCCAAGTCAGGTCCCTACATGGATTAATCAAGAGTCAACAACAAATCGCCAATCCCAGAAGGGAATATGAAGATCAAAGAACTTAAATGTAGTTTAACTAGCTGTTTGCCCAATGCTAGAATAAAGGAGGTATGAATTTAACTCTGGGTGACATTACAAAAGCCACCGTAAGTGATACATTCTCTTGACTCTGTTTTCTAAAAATCGGAAAATACAGTACCCCTATTTTCCATCAGTAATAGCA